ACATAAATAGATGTATCTTCGAATATATTCTTAATGTACTTTAATAGAAAATAAAAGTCTCTCCAACAATGCTATCTCAGGAGTGTCATCGATACCAAGTTACTGTTCGTACCTACATTTAGTACCTGAATCATAAGGCCGTGACTTTCATGGTTAGACGGGGTAAGTATTGATTAGGCAAACTGCATTTTGCATTATTATCACCATCGTTATTTTTTTACTTTTCTAAGCTCCCTTAACTCTTCTTGATGGTCACTGGGTCGCTTAGGCGCTCTTAGGCTGGATGGGTGAGATAGCAGCTTCATATCGCCACGCTTACAACACGATTTTGTTTGAGATCTTATAATCTCTTATCATTCTGTGATGGCTATTATCTGAGTTGGGAACTTTAGTTACAAAACCATATAAGCTCACACTTTGATTTTTTGATTTTTTGATTTTACGATATACTATGTTTCTTATTTGCTTTTTTTATGATCCATAGTTTCAAATTTTAGAAATCACTTTGTATGAGACTATACCATCAGTAATTAATTATGATTTTTAGAATATATTCTCTACGTCGATCGCTGACACCAGGTGATTAATTAGCTAGCCTTCATAGATTCTCATTTCAAAACTATTTATTATGTGACGCGATGGTTAGCTTTTCATTCATTTGTGATATTTATCCATCCTTATCCTCCTTTTATTTTAGAAATCTCTCAACTGTTCCCTGGAGTCCCCTGACATAGTTGTCTGTCTCACAAGTCTGGGCCACCTCGCCATACACTTTCCTGGCCGATTCTCTCGTGAACTTCGAGGTATGATGACTCGTTGTTTGGTGCCCCAACTGCTCTCTCGCTCTACTGATTTCTTGCCATCCAATGAAGAAGTTGCTTCGGATACGACTCAATTGGGGGAGGTAGACGACGAACCGACAGACGAAGATGACAATTTATCCCCCGGGATGGAGGCTGCAACAAATGACGAGTCGCGAGGAGTCGAAATTGTGGAGTCACATGGAAAATCCGTGGCTGGTAAACATGTGGCCGCATCCAAACTTAACCATTTGGATTCATTGAGAGTCTGGCTTCCAGACGGCGCAATC